GTTGCTACGTCCATCTTTTATACAGTCTATGGTCCTTCCTGATGTAGCTGCACAAGTCTTACAATAAGTAGATAGCTAAGGACTACAAATGACACAAATGTGGAGGTGTGGAGTAAGAAAGAAGTGGCCTTACCGGATCCCTGCAGCCCACTCCTCTGCTCTACTTAAGGCTACTGCTCCAGGCTAAATTTGACGCGATGCAAAATGTCCAGTCAAATTATTGGCCATTGAGTTGTATTCTCGTTAATGTGGGTTACATGGCCTAAAAAGAAGCATAAACAAATGCGGGAAATCTGGTTTTAGTACATACATTTTTCTGTGTTTGTTTACTTCCCATTGTGAACAATTTTGTTGGAGAGCAGGTGGAGAGGCCTTTTAATTTTGTTGGTGTTGTTGAAGACACATCGTTAATTCTTTTTCATTTCCACATTGTTTTGTGTCTGATCATGTGTAGCATTGTTGTCACTACTGTGTGTCATTGTGCTTCTGTTTGAAACATCTACATGTTAGATTTAGCCTCTCTGCAGCAACATCCATATTTGAATCATTGTGTTCCATCAGAACCAGCTTTATTGGCCAGATCTGAATACTCTTAATCACTGTTATTACTTTCCTTCAAAGTCTCTGCGACAGACTTTATTTTACGGACACGGATCTAAACTGGTGGAGACGTACAACTGTGAGGCGGTAATTCTCGTTCAGTATGTTGTCGTGACTCATTTCACCGTTTCTTAATTGTGTTTCAAGGCGTCTGGATGGCGTGGTGTTCGACTGCGGCTGTGACATCCGCTGGATCCAGCTGTGGCAGCAGAGAGGAGAAGCCGGGCTTAACATGCAGCAGCTGTACTGCAGGAACGGAGCCTCCAAGATACGACTGCACAACATGTACATCCACAACTGTGGTAAGAGGAGGAGAGGAGCAGGCTGTGTTTAAAAAGGGTTTAAAAAAAAAAAGAAAAGGGAAAAGGATGAGGACGCAGTGGAAGAGAAAGTGGGAGAGAGAGGGAGTGGAATGAAGGAAGAGCGACAGGAAAAGCAGGACAAGGAAGGGAAGGGTTAAAGGTGAAATAGAGGAAAGAGGAGAGGAACAAGGAGTTGAGGAAAAAGGGGGAGGAGGTGTGACAGAGTTCAGAGGGTGAATCTGATGTGAGGAGCTGCGTGCTGATTCTGACAGAGGCTGTAGACTCTGCAGTATTATCTCCTGGTGGTGACTCATCCCTGTGACATCTCTTGTGTGTGTGTGTGTGTTTGTGGGTGAGTGTGTGAGTGTGTGTCCCTTTGCTTCCTTTGTACTAATTTTATTACATTAATGAAAGGTGATTAATTGATTTGGTGTGAAAATATGTAGACACCAGCGGTGACAGATGTGTATTAACGTGAACATACCCTCTGTGCGTGTGTGTGTGTGTGTGTCTGTGTGTCTGTGCGCGTACATGTGTCTATTTGCACATTTGTGTTTTCAGACTTGCCAGAGATCAGCGTGAGCCACAGCAGTGTGTTGGTGATGGAGGGTGACAATGTGACGGTGAGCTGCAACGGATCTGGTTCACCGCTGCCTGAAGTGGACTGGACTGTCAGCGGCCTGCATTCCATCAACACACACCTGGTCAGAAACACACACTTATTACTTTGGCTACAAAACAACATTATCAACACCAAACAGAAGTTATTAAAAACAATGCAATACAATAATACTTCAAATGTTGTGGATCATTTAAAATTTTGTTTGAGGCATCTGATCATTTTCTGGCATCTACTGTCATTCAGGCTAACATCAGAATAAAAAATCTTATTAATTCTTATTCAAATAACCTGCTTCTTTGAGCAGTTTAAAGATTGTTTTCTTAATCCTAAATGACATTATCTTGGCTTTTTATAGTGAGAATCAGCATTCATGCAGCTAGCTTAGTGCTGATCATGTGATTGTAGTTATATTAGATGGCAGATGTTGTGTCAGGAAACCATCCAAGCATGCATTTGGGCATACGGTTTGTAGGCTAAATGCTCATTAAACTTCTCTTATTTAGTTATTTATTGTGCTGTATGTTGTTTTTACCTCTTCTGTATGTTTATTGTTGCTGAACAATTAGATATTATGATCTGCAAGAGTTGGGTCACGTGACAAGCGATGGTTTGCATCCAGTGTTTAAGGTGTATAAGTGCTCCCTTCTATATTAGGATACAAATTAGAGATTACCAATTGAAGTGGCATTTCAAGTTATTCTCATGTACAGTTTGTACTGTGTTATAGAATTTTCCAGTCAAGTTTTTGTCCCTGATCCAATCCAAGTCACTGAATATTTATCTGCCAATACCCAATACTATTTTCTTAGATGCACTATGTTACTGTTTAATACTGTAGGGGCCAGAGGACAAGGGTACTTACATGTGGGCAAGTGGAGGGTGTTGTAAGGGTTTGGCTTGTAAATGGGCACAACATGCCAACAAAGTCTTCCGTGATGCTTAATGCCCTCCGACCAGTGCAGATGTCTTATTTCCAGCTGGGATCAACTAGAATAGTCTTTCTATCTCCCAATGACATACGCAACATTTTTCATCTTGTGCTTGTGGTTAAAAGCAGCGATCATCACAGGATAGATGCCAACTATGTTTATTGTGTATCATAAATTAATCAATTATTAACTGAATAATTAATTAAGAAAATGTTCCAGTTTAAGACACTTGTGTGACAGCGGATGTAACCACAGAATCAGGCTTCAGGCCAATATCAGTTAAAAATTGCTCTAATCAGCCTGATTCCAATCCCAACATGAGGACCAAGGCTAACCCCACAATCCTATAGTTGTTCTCAGCTACATTCATTTGCTACATGATTCTTCCTTGATGGTCATAGCTACGAGTGATGTTAGTTGCATTATTGGTTGGGTTTTTCAGTGACAATGATAAAATTGCGTCCAAACAGAGAACCATTAGCAGAGCAGCAGCATGATGGATTCGTTGTATTTACCTGTAGGTCGACTGCATTTGGAAGCACTAAAGAAAAAAGAAAGAAAACAGGTTGAAATGTAAAAATATACTTTGAGCTGCATTTATGTGTGTATAAAGGAAACGAAACCGAGCCCTCCATGGACAGCTGGATTGATTAACTAGGAGCTTAAGTGCGTGAAATGGATGAATAAAAATGAAACTATGTCTCAAACAGCTTTAATTTCTGTAACAATTTTCAGCAACGTGACTTCAACAATTGTTAAGTTTCAAATTCCCATTTTGATATCATGGTAAATCTTGAGGATCTTATTATGTGCATCACAATTACATCAGTATCTTTCATTAGAAATCTAAGAAAGCACACCTTTGTTTCAGCACTTTAGTTCAGACGTGTAGTTCACCCTCTGAAACGTCTTGGTCATGAATCAGGGTGTTAATAAGCCTGCCCTTTTGCAGATTAAGATTCAAGGACTTGTTGCTCTGACAACAGTTTTAGGTGAATTTAACGTCAATACTGACCAACCAGAAAATTCAGACTCGTGTTAAATTGTCTTCCTTTAAAATTCCTTTTACTCCGTTGAACCACATTTTCCACTGATTGGATAGTGTTCGAGCACATTTTGATCCTCCTGCGCCTTCAAACATAGCTTAACTAATTTGGAGATTGATTAGTTTTTTCTTCTGTTTTTTCGCTCTTGAACAAAGGTATTTGAAATAACGGTGTGCTGTTGAAGATAGGAAGTAAAAACAAGATCATCACTCTGATCAGCTGGGTTCTAATCATGTGTTTAGGTGATGTGCAGTAGATTTGTAGGGAGACCATAATGCACTGTGAGAACACACTCAAATGATTCACGTTGTCACGTACAACGAACATTGTCCAAACTTAACCTACAATGTAGTTCTCTGATTAGCTATGCAGCATAGGATGGCGTGGTGATGATCAACCTTTGTTTAGAATAAGCTACTTCTGTGTGACTGAGAGGCCTGGGCTGAACCCAGAGTGAGTCGGTTAACCCACTAATCCCCCTCCCTGAGAAAGGCCCCGGGGACGTCATAGCAATAACAACTGCAGAGATAAACAGCAAGAAGAGAAGAACAGCGGTCTCTGAAATTGCCGTGTGGCTGTATTTGTCATCTGTGTCTTTAATACTTGCGGTGACTTTACAGATGAAAGTTACCTCAGCCTCGGGCTTGATGTTTAAGGGTAGACAGATACTGTATCAGGATGAGTAAAGTGTTTGGGAGTGGGAGCCTGGCCAACTGAAGGAAAGAGGGGAGGCATAAGAACTGTGTTGCCTACCTAAAGGTGAACAGTTGTGAGTTAATTAGTCCAGTTACTGCCAAAATTTACAGCGCATCACTCTTTACATTCTCCCCCCAATGCTAGACCTATGGCAGTAAGATCCAGCTAGATCAATGAAGTGATTAATTCCCACAGGAAGTGTGTACTCTTTGACTTTATTTCGTTTCCTTCCACGGGAGTTTAACCAATGAATAATTAACTTTAATTTTAATTAAGTAATTAAAGATTTAAACCCCAGTAGTATAATGCTATGTCGTTACAGTATACCCTTCACATACCTAAACACCTCTCTTCTCTCTCTGTGCCTCTCTTTCCATAGTCGAATGTCTACTGGCCCAACATCCACTCCATCAACCTGACCCTTTTCAACATCAGCCGAGACGACAACAACTTCCAGCTGACGTGTATTGCAGAGAACGTGGTGGGGATGACCAACTCCTCCATCCAGCTCAACGTACAGTGTGAGTCTGAAGTTTTAAATGATTGTATCTGTAGTGCTGCAGCAGTGAGAATTGAAGCCTGGTGGACACAGTAACTCAAACCCAAAAACATAAACCTACACTACATGCAGCACTTACATTGCTGCTTTAATTTGGGTATTAATATGAAAGTACTATTCCTTAAAGGTCCCATATGTGCCCCCTTCAGCAAATTAACAGTCTCACAGTCAGCAAATTGTGTCTTTTAATTTTTTTTAGCTCAAAATACTGCAGAGAGAGTTCATTTCACCATGACTTTATAACCCATGCTGTTCCAAACTGGCTTCTTCAGTGTCTGTAGTTTTAAATGTGGTTGCGTTCCTGCTGTCCATGCCCCCTTCAGGAAAAAGACTCTCTCTGTGTCTGTGATTGACAAAACAGTTGACTACAGCAGGTGACAGATGTAAATGAGCAATATCAGGAGTTTATATTCGTCCTAGCTGTCTCACTTTGACATGAATGTTTGTCAGACAATGCTGCAGTTATAAAAATCTGTATGTATCTTATGTGGAATCTGGCTGTATTACAGTCTGGAAGCTGTGAGGGGACAGGATTATACAAAGTTTAGGCTGGACGACTTTTGGTTTGTGCTGATGTTGAGCACGATGTAGCATTATGCAGTCAGATTCTTATTGGCTTGTAAAGCTGGGAAGCTATTTAGATGTGTGTCGGAAAAGCAAAGGTAAGCATCCTCTTAACCTACCCGTCTTTACTTTATACTAGCGGTGGGATTTTAACACGTTAGCGCGTTAATTACGAGTCATTAATTACAACAAAAATAGCGTTAAAAAAAATCGTTGCCATTCAGGACTGCTAGCACGAACAGCTCCGGTGGTTTCTGTGCTCGCTACAACATGCTTTGTTTTCAGATGGTACCTTAAGCTTGATGTGCTTCGGTGGTATGCATATTCTTTTTTGCACAAGTTGAACAAAACCATGCTCTTGTCAAGGTTTCCATCAGGCAGTTTTTTAAATGAAACTTACCCTCCATCAGTCCAAGCAATGCATCGGATTCCTCTATGTTTGTTGATGTTAGCGTAGCGCTGATGCATCTTATGTATCAGTGTGATCGTTGGACCATGAAATTGGGCACTGACAAATGTTTCATGTTGCCGGGATGCAAACTGCGATTCAATGCGTTGATTTTTTTTTTTTCTGCTTTATTTTTGTTGTAATTAATTAATCGTAATTAACGCTTTAAAGTATATTAGGGGTGGGATTTAACGCATTATTTTCGCATAAATGAACATGTTAAAGTCCCACCCCTACTTTGTACTTTAAAGTTTATAACAACAAAACACAATGAATAATAGATTTTCACCATTTGGGACTTTTAATGAGAAAAACTCTGTTGTCAGTTCACTAATGCTGCCCATGTTGCGTGAAGGTAAGTATGTTGACATCAAATATTTGCCTTTTCCGGGTAATTTGTTTAATTAATCTCTTAATTTACATTGCTGTTTCTGTTTAATGTCACCAAGGTTAATTGTGGGACATTTGGAATCTAATATGCATTTGGTGGAAAAGCTAAATCGAGCAGCTTCTCCCTCTGTGACTACACACTGAATGTTGTAGCATGGGGGCTGCACGGTGGCTCTGTGGTTGGCACTGTCACCTCACAGCTAGAAGATCCCGGCCTGGGCCTCGGGTCTTTCTGTGTTGAGTTTGCATGTTCTCCCAGTGCAGTGTGGGTTCTCAGCTTGGACTTAAGATGAATGCTGAGTGGAAACATTCCTCGGTTTGAAGTTTTGCTTCAGCGCCAAAGTATTAATTGACCCCATTATCAGGGTCAATTTGTATAGCAGTTAATGTTAACAATCACCATGATGTCAACTGTTAAGTAAACTGAAGTGCCACAGAACAGTTTATTAATGAGACAGATGCTCCAGTTGCACTTTTGATTAACACGCACTCTGTATCTGGATAACTTGTCTAAACAAAGGAAATGCATATTAATGTGTTAAAGGTGTAAATGCAATCAGAATACATTGGATCAGTTCCACACTCAGCATGTCAACAACAACTCACTTCCGCAGTCTCAGCCTGCAAAGCTTTAATAAGGCCTTATTGGAATTATCAGTAGGTTAAACCTGTTGTGTAAACCTGTGAGAGGCAGCAATGTGATGCAATGCATCTAGTCTGTTGGAAATCCACCTGAAGAAGAAGAACGTGTTCAGGGCTATTGTGTACATGTCCAGTGGGAGCATTGAAGCTGTTGACTGGTCAGTCAGACGTACAGAGTGAGCACAAAGGCCATAGGATTGACATCTGATTAAACTGTAGACACAACTGAGATTATGAGAATACATTTTATTTCCAGGTGTGAATGGAAGATGACTCCTGCATCAGGTATCAGTGTCCATATAGTGCATCTAAATATGTTAATATCAGTTGATATTGGGCGATGAAAGTCATTCTAGTGGCTCTGTGGGTCTGTATGGAGGCTAAAAATAATCTTCTCCTGCTTTAAAATGACTTGTATGTAATACTGTACACTATTGCTTTCAGCAGAATGTGTGGCTCTACATAGTCCCTTACCTGCTCGAGCACACCAGCTCATCTACAACTCTGTTTAGCTACAGTTAAACTACTGAACACTATATACTGGCAAACTGTCATATTGGAGTAATTCAGTCATCAGTGTTCAAACTGTGAACCAGTTCTGAAGAAGACCAAAAGTTTAAAAAGCTCTATTCTGCAAGTAGACAAGATTTGTTCTGTAGTTGTGTTATGTGAAATCTTGGAAGTCTAAATTTGTGTTTTTGAGACAGTCAGTATGCTGCAGTGTCAGGGTGGAAATGCTCTGTAATGGTGTTAACCACTTACTTTGCTCATGATGTGTCTTCTAGCGTATGAGAAACATCATATGGGCACATTATCACAATGAAAATGTGTCTTTGATATGTAATGGTAAGCAAGTATAATGTTTACAATGTTCAGCATCTTCATTTTATTGTGTTAGTGTGCTGACATTTGGAAATTAGCACTCAAACAAATCCAGTTGAGGCCAATGGGAATGTCAGTAGCTTACAAAGCCAACAAAGCTTACAAAGTCATGGACGGATTTTGGGTCTGTCACGATAATGAAAGATTGTGGTATTTGAGGTAAATGTGAGTATCTGTACCTAGTGTCATAGCAATCCAACCAATGGGTCCCATGTGTATGCAAAAAGAAAAGTAGGGGGATCATTAAAGTCTTGAAATAAAAATGTGTCATGTTGTTGGCTCTGTAAAAGAGAGACAACCCTCGCCAACCATGACACAACAGACATATCCGCACAAGTCACCACAACATCTGCATTATGTCTCTCAATAGTTGTGTCTTGGTTATTAAATCTTATTTGCTCATTTGTCATGGATGCTCTAAATAAATGCTTAAAATGATGTTACTCTGTTGTTGAAGGCATTAATCAGCGAAGCCTGCTGGTGTAGTGATTACTTGGAATTAAATTATGTTACCTACTACTGAGCAAGTGGCTTATCCACATGAGGGGCCATCAGCTCTCCTGGGGGCTGCCATAGTTTGGTAAAAATCTGGCATAGTTTGGTACAATTAATCCAGCATATTAAAATTCTGAAAAAAACTAAAATGCTGGTATTAACTTTCAGAGTTGAAGTGGCAGTTGTACTGTTGACAGCTTCATTGTGAACAGTTAAAACCAGCCAGAGGTAATCCTGTGTGATAGGTGACACTGTGCCAAGGCTGTCCCCCGAAATTACGCTCATAAAGGCTTTTCATCAGCAAATTCATTTGCAAGAGGGGTAATGCTGCACCGACTATCTTTTTCATAAACATAATGAAGACATTTTTACGCTGAATGCATCTGCAAGATGTTTACCAACCATGTATGTCGTATTTCTCCACGTTATCTAACTCCTACAGCCGCACTTGTTCAGGAAAAGATTGTGCCCTTACTTCATTGCTGAAAAAGTAATTCTACAATTGAATGTGTTAATGCGATCCGTCAATAAAAATGCAAAGAAATGGGGAATTGCCTTGCAACTCAATCAGGCAGAGAGCAACAAACAATCAATTGCGTTACAAAATACTTATTTAGAATCTCGTGGGTACAGAACAAATGCTCGGAGCCAAGAACGCTTAGTAGCTTTCTTTTGCATAAGACGTCTTTCATGGCAACTTTGACGGGTTTATGTTGGGGACTGAAATGTATCACGTATTAATGACACAGGCAGTCTGAGAGAATAATTTACAAAAAGAAAAAAAAAAAAAATCTCCTTTATCAAGCAGAACAGCCAAATTATGCAGGTACATTTGGAATGCAATGAGGTGTTGCACAGTTACAAACCAAGTGAAATTGATGTAGCCAATTAGCAAGAATATACCCTCCAGCCCACATGAAAGCTCAGCCTTGATCTGAGCGGAAAGAGAAAAGGAGGAAAAAAAAAAAAAAAAAACTAGCCTCAGCAATGATAAAGCAATGATTTGGTAACCATCAGAATGTTCCTCTAATATCCACACCATAAATTACAGTACATACTTGAGCTCTTACATAGGTTTACCCAGCAGATTGGCCCTGGGCAGATTTGGGACAGACTTTATTCAAAGCCAATATTTATCAGAGGTACCTGACATTTTTCTCATTGTAGCAAGCTTCCTCTTGTAGAGCACAATCTATTGTAGCTGTTTGCAATGCATCACGCTACAGGACAGGGGAGATTTGTCACCAATTCAAACACTCCCTACTGGAGCAGAGCTGCTAAGGACCACGCTGGAATGACAGATTGAGTTTGCAACATCTAGTCTTCAGGGCTTCCTCTATCCGGACACTCTATGGATGTACATCTCCAGGCATTTTTTTCCCCTGTTGACACTCTGCTGGTGCTGCAAATTAACTTATTAATTTTTCACCACATGCTCTGATGGTAATTACATTTCCTCCCCTGTGCAGCCTATTGTCTCTGGAAATGTCATAAAATAGCTTAAACTGCTGCTCTGATTAGGGAGTAATCTGATTGACAGCGAAATTACCAGCCGTCAAGTGACATTCTCTGCATTCAAAGATGAGTTCCCTATTTTAGTGAAACCGTAATTAACCACAATGCAAATTCTGCGGGGCCATTGTTCTGCTGCTGTCGGGAACAATAGCAGCTCTACAGCAGTGCGGACTCACACAGCGTACCCTGTTTTCCTCCTTTAGTCTTGTTGGCAAGGTGTAGCTCTCTATTAGGAATATGGCACTAACCTACACCTGGGTTAGTAGTTCTGTTCCCCGAGTGGCTCCACAGGTGAAACAAGGCATAATCTCTATTTACAGTAGTTATTGAAGAAATGATGTGATGAAATCCATCCTGAGACATGTAACTGTGCTGCTTCTAACGGGTTAACTTAAACACATTGTGTTTTCAGCCCATAGGGAATGTGTAGGAGTATCTGTCCTATGAAGCTGCTGCCTCCTCTGTCACCGCCAGCCATGATGTCCTATCTGTAGTCTGGCTGGAGCGTAGTGTTTGAAATATACCAACAGTGTTACCACTAGATAATACTGCACAACTAGCCTTGTACTCATTGTTCTCGCTGATCAAAGACATGTAGTTATCAAAGCTTGTCATCTGTTTGAGCGCCACGAGGACACCATGTTGGTTCAGACCAGTGTAGAGTGCCGTAATGACTTGTATTGTATTGACCGAGACCGGGCTGACAGCCACGCTCAGGGGAAAATGGATCGGCCCCTAACTGTCCATCAACAAGAGAATTTCATTTTTTCCTCACTATTTTCTCCCTCTGTTTATGCTGCACGGCTCCATAGACGCCCTCACTTCACTCTTTCCTCCTCTGTCTTTTTTTTTTTTTTTACTGTCATCTTTTCTCTTTCTTCCTGTGCTCAAAATCGCAGTTCCACACACGCCCCCACACCAACCCGTTCACACATACACAAGCCTTAGCCTTTAGTTCAATTGAATGACTTTATTGTCACTATTGTCTGTCACCAGAGGCGTTTATGAAATGACAGCTTTCACACACCAATAAATAGTTTATTCATGTCTTTACTGGATGATGATTTGGTTTGAAAACATGCGCTATCAACGACGGAGCGGAAACTGACGGTTACTTTTATTATCAATTTATCGAGCAATCATTTAAAATTAATTAGTCACAGTCTATCACTGTCTGTTAATGATAAAACACAGTTGCAGTGTTTACAGTTACAGCAGGGTTGTGCTCAAATGTGTTTGGAGCTATTTGATATGACCACACCGGAAAAGCGATATAAATGGACTCTCCTGGAGGGCGTTCATGGTGTTGATCTCAGGTGCTCACTTGAGAAGTGACAGAAAGAGGTGTGCAAAAATTTAAAAGAAAAAAGACATGAGAAAGAAGTTTTGAACCCTGCTTGCTTGCTCACCTTCTCACAGCTGGCCAGTCAGGACATGAAGCAGCTCTGGAAGTGACGTTGAAATGCTGTGAGGAAGTGGATTTTTTAGGTCTGTGGTTCTGAGAAAGCATAATGTGTATTTTAGAAATACTGTTTGATCAACGACGACAAACCACCTATTCAAATCAGCCATGAAAAAAAAAATCCTAATCTCATTCTGGCCCTGCCTTGTACAGATCAAATTCTGTTTGTGATCTTCCTGGACAAGATTCCCAAGCAACAGTGATGTGGTTCAACTGACTGTTATCAGATGAGAGATGATAGCCACCAACTCCTGGTGGAAAACCTCCAGCTCAGGAGTGAGTTGTTGCCCCAAATGAAGGATTTTAAGTATATCTGAGTCTTGCTCAAGAGTGAGAATGAAAAGGAGACTGATGGGCAGATTGATATTGAAAGAATGAAATTGCAAATACAAGCGACTCAGACGTCCGGGGGGAGCTTGGAGTAGTCATTGCTCCTTTGTAGACTCAGATCGCAGAGGAAAGTTTATATATTTCATCTAGCCTCAGAACGCATTGTCGTCCCCCAGGAAGCGCTGGAAAACATCTCCGGGGAGAGCGGCATCTGGACTACCTTACTTAGCTGACTGCTGGGGAATATGACTGCGGATGAGAGGATTATAGAAATCTTTTGCTAGCAGCATGGCAATGTTGGTCTATCCTTTGCTCTGGACTGAAATATTTCTGCAGCGAATAAATGGATTGCCATTAAACATTGTACAGGCATTCCTGGGCCCCAGAGGATGAATTGTAGTGACTTCGGCAAAGCCCTGACTTTTTTTTTGCCAGTGTCACTATGAAGTTGAAATTGTTGAACTGATAAATTAGCTTCAGATAATCATGTCCCCCTTAGCTTTTCAATGCTGACTATAGTATATGATATGCTCTGTACAAATAAACTTGCCTTGCCTTACTGAGTTATGACTAATGACATTCGCCTTAGCTTCAGGTGTTCTTTATGTTTCATTCTAATGAGTTAATATTAGCATGCGACAATGCTGAGCTACGATGTTGAATATGGTAAGCGTTAAACATGCTAAACATTTGCATGTTTACATTATCACCATCTGTTAGCATTGCTTAAAGCTACGCTGGGTCTAAGAAATTTATCACAGTGTTGCTAACATAGCTGTATTGCACATCTCAAATTGACACAGTAAACCTGGATCTATGTAGGATTCTGGTGATACAGTACATATGATACAACGCACAGAAGGTGATTAGTATGGGGCAATTGCTGTTGGCTTAGCCTAAAGGCCTCCAAACAGGTTAATCCACCCACCTGTCTCTAGTATTAATTTATAGTTTATAAATAACTTCATAATCTTTAAAACCTGACAGACGCACTTTGTATCCAAACTCAAATCACTTATTTTGGGGTGAATCGCTCTTGAAGTATTCATTGCAGTATGATGGGGCACATACCAGATTAAACCTTTTTGACCTTTCCAGTGATGCTTGCTTGTGCAACAAAATGTGGCGAGATAAAACATTCATACATTTACTTGAAATTTAATCATAGTTTTAATCTGCTTGGTGTCCAACTCCACACCCGCTACTTTGAATTACTTGTGAGCTCCTATTGCACAGAACACAGAACACAGAACACACACCCCAAGAAAGAGCATAATGCTAACTTTGTAATGATGCTACAGATACAGATCAAACCTTTGTAAAGTAATACAGGATCTTTTCTTTGTATGAAAAACAAACACATAGCAATGGAAGTAATATCATACCAAATGATGGAATATTGCGATAACGTAGACTTTTCTTTACGAAGGAGACCAAGATATTAAAGTTTTAAAGTAGGTAGGGAAATAACCTTGAAAATGCCAGAAAATTAACTGCAGAACTGCACAAGAAACCCTGTTCTGTTTACTCCAGGTGAGGATTCATTGGGGCAGCTGAATGACAGCATTAACATACACATGCAGCTCTGATGTAGTTGAATAAATAGGTATGCTTGCACATGCCTGGAGAAACTGCAGGCTTCATTTAGACCCAGCAACAAACAAAGAAATGATGTATCATGAGTGTGTGTGTGCATATAAGCAGTAGAGGTGACGGGGTAGGTTGAGAGGGGGGGCAGCTGGTATGTAGAACAGACACAGAGAGAGAGAGACTGCCAGGTAATACCATCTGCCAAATATTTCCTTTTGATGATGTAGCAGCAAGAGTGACTCATCGCGAAGACAAATCAGAGGATGAATTGTTTATGAAATGTATCTGATGGTATTAAAGTGATAAATTGCCTCTCAGCTTGGCGGCATTGTGGATTCAGAGGTGTGTTACTGCATGTCAGCAAAGAGAAGCTCCGTGCTTGTTCATGTAGAGGAAATTCCTCTGTCTATTTCAAGCAAGAGGAGTCCCTCTATCTGTTTGTTCCCCTCACTGTCCCATCCCATGTACTGCTGCAATATGTAACACGCAGTAAAAGGCTCATTGCCACTTGCAGGCAAGAAACCTGTTTCCTAAATGTCATCTTTCCCAGAACAAGGCTGCGGTGTTTAGTCTGCTGCTGCATTTTTTAAGGTTATGCAGAGAATTAGGAAAGGTTTTCACCAGCCCTAGGGTTGTGGAACTTTCTTGACACAAAGGTTTTTTTTTTGTAATACTGCATTTAACACAAAAACAGGCCACTGATGAGGGTTTTAAAAGGGACAATGGGACTTTTGGGTGACCTGCTCATTCTTCTCTTTCCTTCATGATTTGGATGTGTCGCCATGCCTAAACTGTTTCTAATCTCTCCATCTTAACTGCAGTTCCTCCCGTCATCCTGAGACTGGCTGAGCCTGAGCAGCGCCTTGATACCTGCATTGAATTCACAGTACGAGGATACCCCCACCCCAAGCTGCGCTGGTTCCACAAACAGAAGGAGATTCTGCAGAATGACTACATTCGCACTGACATGGACTTCTACCAGGACTACCTCGAGGGCTGTCTGACGTTCCAGAACCCGACACACATCAACAACGGCAATTACACTCTGGAGGCCAGCAACCCTCTAGGAACAGTCACCAAGACAGTATATGGTCACTTCCTGTTTGACCCTGACCCTGACAACAGTAAGTGGGAAACTTCTTCATGATAGTTATTGTGCTTGTGGGTGAAAGTGATGCCCTGTTGGCAGCTGCCAGCACCGACGCTCCCTTAATTACAACTGCATGCATACTCGTGGGTAAAATGGCATTTGTACAAGGGTTACTAGCACATTTTTACTGCCTGGGCCTTGCCTTGATTCTTCTTGATTTACCAAAGAATCAAAGCACAGGAGAAAAGAAGAAATACTGCCAAGTAATTCTCTGATTCCCACAAGAGCTGGTATGGCCTACTTTTTTTGGGAGCGAGCATCAACATTGGAACAAGTCTTCGACCAGTTGAATTTCTTGTTTTAACTACCTGTTGTATAAATTACAGGTTCCCTTGTAGGTGGAGGAACTATTGGGAGCTCTTAGTTTTTATTAAAATCTTCCCTCACAAGGTGCAGGTTGTGCAGCTGATCCCTGCTGGCTGGATAGCCGCCAGGGTTCATCCACAGTTCAGTCAGGTAGATTGTTCACTTTCAGTTCATGCTGAGTTCACAGGGAGGGGGAATAAACCCACAAAGACTGGCAAATTTCTCCCCATGGTCAATATTCCAAGGTTAATACCTTGTGTCAATTTATTGACATAGCGTGACTTTCTCTGTCTTCTCTTTTGCAGACACAGTGGAAGTAGGTGAGTGCTCCTATTTTCAAATGTAACGCTGCTACTTTTTTTAGCTTCTCTTTTTTTCTTTTTACTGCTTGTTTGTTTGGTGTCAATGTGCACACATATGCAAACACATCCTTTAATGCTAGACTACCACTATTGAGATAGTAACCATGGAGAAATTTGTTCACTTTGTGTTGCAATCCAAAAAAAAAAAAAAGCTGCTGGTATTGCTGCCTAGATTTTTCTATTATTAATTTGAGGTTGGCTTTGCTAAACACTCTGAGCTCTCATTATACTGTATGACTGCTCAAGGGCATCCCAGGCTCTATAGTGACAGGGCACAGTATTCACCTCCCTTGCTTGGATCACGTCATCCAGTCGAAGAATCCAACTGGCAACGCTGCAGGGTGTTTTCATGTTGTTTGGGTTCATGCTGAGTCTTTACACTAAACAGTATTTTATTCCTCTTATAGTATGGTGTCGTGTTACAGCCCATTTAGTTTAAGGCCTCTAAACCAGACTAGTGGCCTCTTAATGGCCCATGGCTTTGAAAATCAGCAGACACTTCTCTGTTGTTTTTTAGATTTTGGGAGGTTTGATGTCCTGCTCAGTACATTGCAGTACAATGTCATGATGAGGCATCCTGTCGTCCACATTCGGATTCTGCTGCTATGTAGGCGTTTGTGCTTGACTAGCTGGACTCTGATGTCTTGATTGGTGGTTTGTTAAGCCCAGATTTAAGACTGCATGTGACCTCCCTCCTCAGACCTTCTTCCTTAGACTTCTCGTCTTTTGCATCTTACTGTTTATAAGAATGCTCTGCTGTTACAAATGCATTACAACGCAGTGAAATTCTCTTTTTGCACATCCCGTTTGGATGCAGGGTCAGCCATCACAAGACGCCCCTGGAGCAGAACCTCTTGAACCTCCGACTTTTGATTAGTAACCCAGAACCTCAGTAGTCAAGCCCTGCCCTTGATGGCAGGATATATAGCAGTGCTTCAGACCTCCCTGCTCACACATAAACTTTCATTTATTTTACCTTAGCAGTCCACCTGAACAACTGTAAGGAGAGAAATAATCAGTCCAGTTGCCAACTTTGATAAGGCAAGAGCACTGCTGCACTTCAGGTTTCTGCTGCTGTCTTGGCCGTGCTTCAGGCTTGTGTGCGAAAGACCGAAATTAAGCTGAAAGCCCAAAATAACTACACATGTAAACAACATTAGACTAATACTACTAACAGGCTCGTAGCGTTGCCAAGAAAGCAGAAGCAACCAGAATTGGAGGCAGTAGTGCCCTTGTCTTATGAAAGTCAGGACAAATGTAAACAAAATTAGGCAGATTACATCAGATGCTGGTGAAGATTCAGCAACTGGACTGATTATTTTGACCTTACATTTTTTCCCAAAGCTTTAGTGGATTCTTGAGGTGAAAAATATATGAAATGAAAAATGAATGAAATGAAATGAAAAAATACTTTATTTATCCCAGAAGGGAAATTTAATATAAATACGTAGCCCCCATTATGAAATGGAACCATGCTACGCGTGCTAAAACCATCGGCTCACAGAACTTTGCAGCAGTTTGACCCTTCCTCAGGGATTTAACATTAAAAATTACTCATCGAAAAGGAACAAAGACATCTCCCAGTTGATTACATTACGATATTAGCTAGCCATTCCAGGTAATACTATGTCCATGAATTGACTGAAAACACCACATACAGCTGCCTTTTAAATGTTTAAAGCTGACTCACTTTAAAACAAGAACCATGTAGAGGTATAGAAGTACTCAACTGCCGTAGATGATATTGTGCCAGTATTTGTTTCGTATTATCTTAGTGCTTAGTATTATATGATCCCAAAAGGTAATTGATAATGCAGTTCAGAAGCATGTAGGAGATTTTTGGGAGACAGGACTGTTTATTGTTTGTAAATTCACACCTTATGTTTGCCTTTTAATGCTACAACAGAGGATTTTAGGACGAGGACTAATGATTAAATCTAACATTCAACAAAGGCCTCCTGCTGGAATCAAACCAGGAGCGCAGTAGTTACAGTATGTCAACTTGAGCCAGCCAAGCTTTTAGTCATTCTCTTTAACGGGAATTGTATCAGCAACTCATTGTGCATAATGATGCTTCTCTAACCCCTACCTAACCAGCCGCGGTGTAACGAAGCGAGTCTCCCCCGTTAGCTGGTGATGTGTGAATGTTTGGGAAGCAGTACAGTGTAAATGCAGTGATATTGCTGGACCGATGGCTTTGGCCCGCTCTCACACTGCATCGTAAATGTCCTGTGTGTGATGTGTGGTTTGGCTTCGGGCTGTTGTGGCAGACTCTCTGTTGACGGCTTAAACAAAGTGGGCTGGTCTGATCTCTGACCTTCATCAGAGGCTTCTTCCATCTCCATATGAGGCCATTCTTTCTAATCAGACATGGATTATAAAGCCGCAGCACGGCCAGGGATGGAGACGGATGGATGCCGACTGCGTGGCGAGCTGCATGAGGCAGGCCTCATGTTGCCTTACATGCACGCGGTCAGGCAGCTTTCTGGGAGCAAGGCAGGTGAAGGAGAGATGTTTAGAGTGTGAAGCATTATAGCGGCGGTGTGTGAGGGAGTTCAGCCGTGCAGAGGAGACTGACAGGCTGACTGATACTGACACTGCTGAGGAGAGAGGAGGGCAGCGGGAGGAGAGGAGACAGGGATGAAGGCTGGGAAGGAGGGACGCAGAGATGGTAGTTAGGACACACACACACACACACACACACACACACACACTCACACTTCAGTGTGATGCGTGTGTGTCTGAGCCAGTGGCAGCCAGTCTACCATGTGGCCATTAATTTGCCCACAATTACTCTCTGATGTCCTGGCTGGAGGCCTCAGAATGGAGCTTCCCTCATACCAGTTCATTTTGTTTCATGGCTCCCTTTCATGGCACACTGCTGTTTGCCAAAACACTTGTTTGTAAAGGTGTGACATGTAGCAATTTAACATGAAGAAATTAGTTCTGCAGACCGCTAGAGTTCTGTTACCTGATCCAAAATGAGATTTTTTTTTCATAAAGATGTGAGTTAGTTTGGTGCATTCTTTAGCTGATTTGACCCAATTTGATATTCGGTGCTCCAGGCTGTATGCGCTTCTTTTCCTTCTTTCTGCTTGTATAATTATTTTTAATTCTAAAGCAGCTTGTTTCAATTATTCTGTTTTTCATATGTACAAGCACAAGCGTACTTCTGTACAACTGTAATAAAAGATTATTTTTTTCTGTTATTTCCATCCGAGGCTTGAGTCTGACTGGATGGCAAATCTCAAGCTTTGGAAGGAACCATTTCAATATACATTCAAGGCTGTGCAGACTTCTAACTGAAAGCCTTTTATCAGCCCATAGAAATAAAAATGGGTTGCTCGTCAATATTGTCTCAAGGTTTTTATGGCACTACACAAGGAAGGCAACGTTCTCTCTGTTTGCGTCAGTCCACTTCTTGAAGGAGAGCAGCCCGTGTCGAGACACTTAACATTTATTCAATTCTCCTATTTTTCAAGAGTTTATATAAAAGCAGAGACGCACAAAATGAGGAAAGCACCAAAGGATGTTTTCAACTAGCAATGAGCCCTATCTGAAAATATTAATAAAACCATTTGACTTTGTGGAGATACAGAAAATATGCTCTCAATTATGTACATAGGAGAGCCCATTGGATCACCTAATGCTGGTCTGTTGGGCTGTGCATTAACTCGTATAAATGTTGCACTTATTGAATGTGATAATGAGTGCATAAACAAGTGGGATTACACCACTGCAGATTGGAAAAAAAAAGAAAAGAAAAAAAAAAAACCCAGCTCATTGTATCCGCTGTATTTTGTACTTGAAATACATCCTCCCTGAGAATACACTGCATGAATAAAGAAGTGTGAAACCATTATACACATTTACTATAAAGGAGTGTGGGAGTAAACCACAGCCATTAAAGGTTTGTTCCCTTCCACAACCACTGATGCCTTGTTTCTTTGTCTCTGTGTTGCAGATCCGCAGTCAGAGGGAGGTTCAGGCCGACCAGATGAAGATACATTCGGGGTGAGTTTTCTCCTTAATGATGTTGATGAAACAGCTGCTAAAGATGGCGCCCCTGGTCTCAGCAAAGAGCTGCTGTGTGTTCCAACACAAACCTAAACTGCTTTTTTTTTTTTATTTGACAAAAGACTTGACATGCATCCGGAGGCACAAAAAGACTCCAAACACAGCTAACAGTGTTACAAAGTTGTATGTTTGGACACTAATGATGTTGATGACGGTCGCACCATCCTGCAGTGGCTGAGGCTGTTTTGAAATGTTACGTAATGTGGTGGATTTTGTAAAGTCTTCTACCACTGTACTTCAATAGACAGAGCCACCGTTGCGATAGACGAAGCCACCATTACTGGGCTGTTAATGGACTTTTTCTGCGGCAGACATTTTGACATATGATAGCAGGAAAAGCACAGGTGTAATTAATAATATTAATAATAGCTGCTGTCAGTGAGGTGCGACAGTTCCAGTTTCCTGGGTGTGTGCAAACTGGCTCACTGACATGTCTTACTGGGATACCTAAATGGAAGTGAGCCATTGTTAGTGTTATTAATTACACATGCGCTTTCCGTGCTGTGACCAGTTCAAAATGCAGTGAAGAAGGCTGTGCTTACACCCAGCAATGCAGAAAATATCAACAGTCAAATCTCTGTGTCACTTTTGCTGCACCTGCTCACAGTGGCAGATTCACCACTTGTAATTTCTGAAACATTCTGTGATGCATACAGTGATAGACAAAGACAGGCTTCTTCTGTTTAGCCTGCAGTTGTCAATTCTGCAGAGTGCAATGACGGCTGTTGCACTCAGACTTTATCACATTAATGTAAGCTCCCTGAATTGGATGAAACTGCTGTTTCATGCTGGCTTTTTAATGTTTCCAGATAACTTGTTTTAAAATGAGAATCCTCTTAAAGAAGTTTTCAATAATGCATTTTAGTATAATACACATTATAACTGTATACATGATGTGTCACAAAGCTGAAACTAAAAGTCAGCGTCCATATCATTATGAGTTGATGATCCATTTAGAAGTCACGTTATTACATTTTTCAATCTTAGCGTTAAAAGAGAAAATGCTTTAGCATGAATACCAAACAGTGTGTTTGGCACATGTATAACACTGTCTCTCGAAAACCGAATGGAGTCACTGGAGCATCTACAAGTGATAGTAAACCTGCTCATGTTACCTCCTAGCTTCCACACTGTGGGCAGCGAAGTAGGTAGCTGTCAAAATGCTCCTTATCTGTGGAAACAATCTGCCTCTTGGCTGTGTTCATGTCATGTAGAAGAGAATATAATGGAAGAGATGGGAAATGGGAGTGTCCACGGCACTGGACAACTTCAACTGCTAGACTGCAGCTAATTAATCAATGAACACCAACCAAACAAAGTAGTGAGACACAAACATCAAATACATTTCCTCAAAGAATGTCATGCTATCGAGTGAGGGAATTGTGAGCTAAAACATTATTAATAGTGGTAATACAAGACTGTTTTATGGCAGAATTGCGTATGTGAGGGGTAGGTACCAATAACAGTGGCGTTTGTCGAATGTCTGTTTGTTTTTCACTTCTGTGCTATTTAGTGCTGAGTCAGATATGTTGCAAAATGTAACTTTCCCACTTAGAATTATGACTTGAACGTTAACAAAAATACTATTTACTGGTAGTACACATATAATTATTACATTTCAAATATGATATGATTGCAAGATTACTAGTGCAGTGTTGCATTAGGCAGGTAGCCAGATGCACAGTTAGAGCAAACTGTAGAAAAACATTGTTCAATTCATTCTTATTCTTTTTTCTTTGCCAGACATGATAGAAAATGCAGTCAGTGTTTTCACCTTGTGTGTGTGTGTGTGTGTGTGTGTATGTGTGTGTCCTCATGGCAAAATGTCATCCTTGAGGATATTTGTGTGGTGAGAATGACCACAAAGGTGGATTGAAGTACTTTAACAGGTGTTTGTCTGTCTGTCAGTAGACAGATTTTGTTAATGCAGACGAGTCACAATCGTGCAAGATACAGCTAGGAAACTTAACAGGTGTGTAATTGACATCACAATGAAGGCCAAGTACCCAGATGTGCAAGATCCAAAACACTAGTCCTGTGATTCCATCGCAACATGCCTTTGTGTTGTTCCTGTGTTTGAATCAGTACACAGAAGCACTGCTCTCCAGCCTCTTTACATTCTGTATACCTCTCTACTGTTAGTCCCATGCAGGCTGCTTCAGCATGTGGAGAAATCCAACATTTACCAGCGTGTACACCTTTCTCACTGCAGACATTTTGACTTGTCATAGCAGGAAAAGAAACAAGCAGAGAAAAGGATTTTGCTAACAGTGGCTCTGTTCCATCAAGCAAGTCAGTGAGCCGCAACAGTGACTCAGCATGATACACAATACTGAGACCCTGGAACTAGTCCACCTCTTTAAGTTAATAATCAGAGTCTTATTATTAATCCGAAAAAGGAGGCAAAGACAAACATCCATCAGTGGAGGGCGTTAAGGGTTTTAATTCCTTGAGTATTAATATCACCTGACCTCATATCACCGGCTTCACTTCTTAGAGAAACTTAGTGAAGCTAAATTCCCTCGATAAGTTAATGTTGCAGCAAAAGCAGCAAAAAGCTTCCTAACTGGAAACATCATGAACTTGTATGGGACGAGCACAGCCCAAGACACCGAGGCTCTGCAGCCGGTGATTATAACTGCCTAGAACATCGTCGGTACCATCTACTGAGCATCAGTGGTGTCGGTGAGACAATGTGTCTGCACAGAGCCCAAAGGATACTCAAAGACAATCCTCACCCCAACCACAGCCTGTTCGCACTGCTGCCGTCTGGCAATCGATACAGAAGTATCCGCTGCCGTACCACCTGACTTCAAAACAGTTTCTTCCCTCAGGCGATGAGATCGCTGAATTCATCCTCCACACTTCACCACAAAAATAGTTCTCCATTATTTATTCTTTAAATAATTTGTCTTTTTTTTTTGAGGAGGAGGATAAACGGGCGACATTTGTAATTTTTTTTTTTTTACATAATCTTGTGCTGCATTTACACTTGTGCCTTTCATGCTGCGTTTTTTTTTTTTTTTTTTTACATAATCTTGTGCTGCATTTACACTTGTGCCTTTCATGCTGCGATGAGCCAAAAATCTATGATGATTACTTAAATCTTAATGAGTTATTTTTATTTCATCCTTGAGAAATAGTTTCTTGTTGTATTATTAAAACTGACATTAAACATGAGAACATTAAATCCTGTAGGTGATGATGAGAAGCAAACTGTACTGAGTGAACCAATAAATGCTAAATTATTGGCATTTTTTTCTCTCCTCGGCATCCAAGTTTGTACAGTTTAAATAACACGTTGTAATGATGAGGATAAGCCAGGATTTTTCACAGCGGCAGCAGTTGCTTAGAGTCACATCATACAGTAAGTCTGGCTGTAGATGAGAATCATATTTAAATTACATTCTGTCAACCATGACACATCACAAACAAGACAGGTGTTTAACTTTTTTTCAGTGCCGGTGTGTTCTGTGAGAGGAAGCAGCAGTCACAAACGAGTGGCTTAAACTGTTGATTTGCCGTGTTTAAGGTGATCAGAAATCTGGAAAGGATTATGAAGCGAAAACATTCCACTGATCGCTGCCTGAGTCTGACACGCTGTTTCGTTTTCCCCAGGTTTCCATCGCCGTGGGTTTGGCGGGCTTCGCTTGTGTCCTCCTCCTCGTCCTTTTTGTTCTCATCAACAAATACGGCCGACGCTCCAAATTCGGTATGAAAGGTAAGTCTACACAAATAGTCAGACAAGCAGATAGGCAGGCAGATAGTTAGCTTTGTTTTTTCGCCTTTCTGCCAGTTGCATCATTGTGCACAATCCATTCCCCGAGCTAATCTTCTCTTCAAAACCTTTGTTCGCTAGAAAATGTGCACGAGCAGCTACTGTAGAAGTCCTACTTTTTTTACTGAGTGTTTACTGAACTACTGCTGCACTTTAGTCATATCCTCAAGAGGACTCATTTGGAAAAATAATGTTTTTGTTCCCTTGGAAGGGGCAATTAATGGTTTTGGTGACTGTTTTGCGTCGCTGTATGCTACATGTCATCGAGTCCTGCTAAAAGGCACGCGTTTGAAATCGCAGATACACATGCACACATACAGACAAAGAGATCAATACTAAAGGAGCGTGTGCATGTAAACAACTCCATATATTCACTGTGTCTGCTATGTACAGCCGTCGCAGAAGGGATCCTGAATTAATTAGTGGACTTGGCGCTGTCGATCATGCTGAGGAATTCAATAGGATTAATGTGGCTTTTGTGCATGCTGAGCTTTCATTTTGGGTCAGCTCCAGGTTTTGCTTATCTCTCCGGCGGTGGCGTCGTGGAAGAGGAACAAGCCATTGTAGCGCTGATCTAGGAGCAGAGTGCAGAGCAGAGAGGACAGGGAAGCAACGGCTCAGGTCCTGTTGGTTCAGGTTCAAGCGTTCGCCCACCCGGATGGTTGGCGGGGCCGAGTGGCGGCATTCGCTCGTGTTTGGTGGTTTGAGGTGGATGAGTTTGTGCATGACTCACAGAACACACATCCCTTTGCAACAAGGTGCACAGAGTCAAACTGAAGATCCTACTCTATATGCACTTCTTCTTCTTCTTCTTCTTCTTCTCTGCTGGTTTTGTGTAAATTCTTATTTCTGTCAGCTTCAAGCATTTCTCCCTTTTTGTCCCTCTTAACCTACTAAAGTCTGCTCTGATAATATGCCACCATGACCCCACACCTCAAAGCATGCATGTTCTTCATTACATACTGAAAGTATGGTGTAAAGTAGCATTAGCCGCTGCCACCTTTTAATTAGCTACTTTACAGGATTAGAGTTCGTTACTTACCTCGGTAAAGAACTCTCCGCTGTAATTATTTAGGGGGTGGCAATTATTGCATTGGCCTAAAGCTGGCTCTAATCAAGGATGAGTCTCATAGTTAATGAGGCTTTACAGACCTGTTTGTAATGCCTTAGCACTGTTTAGCTGTGCTAACAAACTGGCTTCCTACAAAGAAAACAAAAGCTACATATCAGTCATAAATCCTGATGAAAAAAAATGAGAGATGAGACGTGTTTGTCTATATGAGATAAGATTTAATCGATGCCACAGCTGCTTGCTAATGATGCTTCTGCTCGACTTTCTCATTCCTTTTTATTAAAGCACCTTATTCAGTAGATGGAAATGCATTTTACACAACAACAGACTAGTTTGATATTTATATCCACCCACAACTATGAGTTGCTATTGTGATTCTTATTTCATTCACAATCCGTGCAGCATCAGCGAATCAATACAAATCTGGGTGTAAGACTCAGTCTGCCAGGACTCTGTGTAACAGCGCTGCCTTATTTTTTACATTTGCTATCAAATCAAAGCAGAGGCACTGCTTCATATTGCTAGCAGCATTGAGAGCTTAGTATGTTTTAATGTTCAGAGCACCTGCTGTTACTCTTGGAGTCAACTCTTAGCAAAAGGGTGTTTCAAGTGTAGTTTCAGTCCTCTCCAAGCAAGAGCGCCGAGGAAGGTAATTTATCTCCTTGATGGCAAGGTCCAAAGTTCTCTTGGACACCGTAGGGTGTTTTTTTTTTTTAAATGGCATTGCGGGGCTATCTCACTGAGCGCTGCATGATTCTCTAGCTACACTCACTGCTTCATGCAATAAGGCTGCCCGCTTTGCTCAAGGGCACCTCAACATTTTCTGTTGAGAGACTTTAAAGCATTTTTCATGCATTGTATTCTGGACAGTGTGTTTCCCAGATCTAGCCGCCTCTTTCAAGGTAACAGTATTATAAATGACTGTAACAGTGCAGGAGAAAGAGGCACTTGAAGCATGAGTAGATCAGCAGGTTGAACCATTAGCACTGCTGAAATATACGTTGGTTTTTTTTTTACATAAATGTCAGTATCATGTTGAGCATGCACAGGCCATCGTGTGATGGATGAAAATTCAATACTGCTCCACCGTATTATTGCTATAATGCTCAGCTTTATATCCTAATATAATGATTAACAAACAACAAATCAATAATGCTGCTGCCATGGTTCCTCCTCTCATTTGCTGTCAGGTGGTGGTATGTCTGGTGGCACTGTGGCTTCCTAAGTCAGTTCAGTTTAAATAGAGATGCTACTGTCTCCACTGTCACTGTGAGTGATTGAGCGTATAAAAGACTTAAAGAGAGGTGATGTCAGTATGGACTCTTTCAGGACCTCATGCTGTTCTGTACAAAGGCCTGATTTGTCCAATATGTGTGTGTGTGTGTGTGTGTGTGTGTGTGTGTGTGTTTTCTCCTCCCACTCTTGTTCTGGAGAATCAGCTGGAAGGCTTGAAGAAGTCATTACCTTTGGATGGCGCCATAATGGATTTTCGCTCCACTAAATCACTGTGGCTCTTTTGGTTGTTGGAGTTTGATCACCGACCGTTTCTGGGCATCCAATAAAAACTCTGTTTTTATTTTTTTTTCTTTTTATGTGGTTGGAGAGACTGTGTGTGTGTGTGTGTGTGTCCGTGTATGCGCATGTATGTGTGTCTGTGTGCTGCATTCAGCTGATTTGCTGCCATTTCAAGGCCCACCAGCAGCTCCATCCGCTGGCTGCCCTGCATTTACAGCTCTGACTGATGCACTGCTGCTCAGTTTATGTGGCTGTAATTGTGGTTTGTGAAAGATACTTTAGTGAGTGTGCATATCTGCTCATACTGTAGATAACCTGTTGCTCTAATCAATATGTTGTCGACTTACCTCCCTGCTGAAACATCTTGCAGCCTAAGCAACAGGCTCATCTCTCAAAGTGTGATTCACACCAGTGGGCTTTGAAGTGTCTTTCACACGGAATTTTTTGTCAGCAGGGAATCAATAATGCTTCTTTAGAAAAAAGACACTCAGCATGTCAGTAATAAGTATTGTGCTCCCCTGTCATCTTTTCTTATGTTCTGGGAGAAAATTACCACACCCCTGCTGCTGGAAGTGCTGCCAGTATACGAGGAAATGTACATCACTTTGTCCCCATCTTCTCAATAACACCTCCACAAAGTTTGCATCCAGGCTGGACATTATATGTTAACACCACCTGTTCTGACCTGAAAATTCTCTTTATTAGGGATGCTGAAACATAAAGGGAAATTGGAGATACGCGCTTAAAATATATTGATTGTGACCAGCTTCTTGTTAAGTGTAATCCCCAAAAAACTTAATGCGTTCTTGGTTGTGCTCTAAAATTCCGTCTCAAATGTTTATTGTAATCATGACATTATAGTAACGCACTCAGTTCTGAATTCTGTAAATAACAACATTTTGAACTAATTCTGAGGGTCCCCACAGAGTTTGGGAATCAATGCCTCATTGTGCTGCACTCTGGATATATTTGGGGCTCATCCACAATAGTTGTTGGCAGCTGCTGTGTGTTTACATAAGGAGCAGATGATACCGACACTATTTCTGGCTACATTTCACTACAGAGTTTTGACTGGAAATATACAGTGAACAAACAAACATGTCAGGAGGAAGTGACAAATGATGGAAGAAACAGCATTGAGTTATTAATCAGTAGAGTAAAGATTGATGTTTCTTAAAGTGAAACTTGCTCAGTCTGCTGCTGCTGATGTGATCTGCAGTACATCCACATGGTTTCGTTTTCTTGTTATCTGTCATTTCTAGAGGATAAAGGGAAAAAAGTTTATCTTCTACACCGCAATCATTCTTTTTCTTTGCTTTTACCACTTTTAGAGCTGCAAGATTCAATCTAAATGCACAGTGTAAACCAGTACAGCCACTTTATTTCAGTGTTTATTGCAGAAATTATACAGAAATTTTCTTTCTATTAATTCTATTCACTTGACACTGAACTAGGAGGTAAGGTTGCCTTCACCACCCGCCCACATGACACCTCTACATATAATATACAACATGTAGCACATGCAGCACTGTGGACTCATGGAATGCTAAAAGCTTAAAACTAGGAGTAGTTGTAGAAATACTAAATTTGCAGAAATACTACCACTACTGCTACATGTAAGCAAGTACTTTACATTGTTGAACGGTGTTGGCAGACTTGGTGCCACTGATTGTTAAGCGAACCAACATCCTGACCATCATCACTGCTTTGGTACATTAGCTGACACTATTGTAATCAAGCAAACATTAATCTCACTAAAATATTGTATGACAGCATGCAGCGAGGGTGCAGTGATACACAAAGTCCCATCCTGCAAGTTGATGAGATTGGTTCTTTAGCTTTGGTACATATGAGTCCCCAGAAGTCTGAATCTGTGTTTCTGAGATAGACTGTAGTTTCAAGGTGAAAACATTAAGTAACGCGACTGTTTATTTCACTCGTGATGTGTTTTCTAGCACATAAAACACCATGTGGACATGTTAACGAGGTAAAAAACTTGATTTTCGCCGTAGGGGCTCTTTAAACAGAAGCTCCAAAAGTTCAAGACAGCAGCCGGGGAGAGCAGCAGGCGATCAAACTGTCACTCATGGCTGTCAATCAACAGCCTTCCTCCGCATCTTTAAAGTCTCCCAAAAGCCTTCAGCTCTTTTTGAAGGGGCCATCATTTTCAAAGTGACCACCAGTACACTTATTGGAGAGCCTGAATGTAGAGATTGAGAACATGAAGACTATTTGAAAAAAAAATGATTGACTTAGGCCAGTGATTCTGTGGAGCCAGCATCCAGCAGCTGTCAGTGGTGTCATACTCTCAGGTATTTCTACTCTGGCTTCAGCCTAAAGCTGTGGC